GTTGCTGTTTTTCGGTTCTGCTATGGAAAGTCCTTCTATAAGTAAATACAATTGTTTTCGTTGCTTCAATCGCGTTTTAATTTTTGCGGCTTTATGTTAATTGAAAACCAATTTGACGGCAAACAAAATGCGACGATTCACTGCGCACAGTTCCAATTGTCTATATCTATCGCTGTCTCTCTCTCTCTATCAGGCAAACGATTCGCTCCCACTCTCTCCTTCCCACTGCCGCATGGCGTATTCAATAGGCCTGAATAAACAGAACTCTGTGCATTTGAAATTGATAGATAAGCTATATTGAAATTAATATATATATATATATATATATATATATATATATATATATATATATATATATATATATAAACATACATATATCATATACAGCTCTATATATTATATATGTATATATGCTTTTGTGTATATAGAGCTTGTTTATGGGTTTATATTCATTTTTATATTTATTTTTTTGCTATTGACTTTGGAATTTTCAATTAAAACACGTAATTGATGAACACTGACAAAATTGAAATTTTTATTTACATTTTATTATTGCCTGGCGACAATTCACGCCTCCGCGACCTAACTTTAATCATCAATTTTGCTCGCATTAAGCATTTGCACAGCTTTCAATCTGCATGTCATTATTATGTATCACTTTCCAGTTTCAGTTTTGCATTCGACTCGGCCAATTCCCAACTCTTTCTGAGCTCTTCGACCATACAGAGTGAACTTACTCCTTGACAGTGTGCTGGACTGAGTCAGTGTTGCGTTGCCTGTGCCTTCATACAAGTTTGCGTCACGTAATCGATTTATATTTCTAATGCCATGAAATCGATTAAAATCGATATCAAATTTCTGTTATTTAAGCAACTTTTATTCGTCATTGTAGCTTTTCCTTCTCTATCTCTAGCTATCTCTCTCACTCTCCTTAACTCTCTCTCACTATCTGTCTTGTTCTCTCTTTCTCTTTCCCCCTTTCTCTTTCTATCTGCCTCTCTTTGCTCTGTCTCTCTCCACGGGAAGCCGAGAAACATCTAATTGGCAACACCCAACTGGGCCAATTTTAATTGCTTTAAATTCATTAAAAATTTCACGAGTTACACTTCAGTATTCAAATTGGCGTTTAAATTGTTTAATTTGGTTGATTTGTAATATTTACTCTCGATAAGCTTCATTATTAATGGGCGCACTGTGCGTGGGTGTGAGTGTGTGTGCATGTGTGCGGGTGTGCAATAATTTAAAAATTACATTCATAATTTATAAAAGTATAAATAAATAAATAGCAAACAAACAAGGCGTAAAAAGAGGGATCGTTTCGATAGGCCGAAAGTCGGATGCTCTTCATGGTAATAACGATAATGAAGTTCGAGCTCATGATGATAATGAACATAATTGTAATATAATATATATATAGGCCTGCATTGCAGTCTCGCTTCAGCATGGCCAGTGGCAACACCAGTCCGACTGACAGAGACAGAGTTTATCCCAATATTAACGTGCCCTCTCCTAGAGTATAGAAAGCAACAACTGTAATTGCTGGCAGCTGCAGAGTAATAGATGAAGGCGACAATGCCAAAGCACAGGATGTTCAATGCTGATGAGCATGAGGAGTGAGGCAGAGGAGGGGCAGCAGGAGGAACGAGGACGAGACCTGTCTATGTGCAGTAATTCAACGTGTTGTTGCTTCGTGTGAGTGCAACAACATAATTGTTGTAGCTGTTGAACTTGTTGACCATTTGCCGCCCCGTATTGAAGGCAGACCCCCAGACCCCTGTCCCAAGTCACTAGCCCCCAACCAGCCGCAGTCCCAGTTCGAGTTGCAGTCTCGTTCAGATTTGCATAATAAATGAGATACAAAAGCCAAGCGGCTACTGTCACATAGCCACTGGCCGTGTGCCATCTATAATGATGATAATAATGATGCAGATATATGTTCAAACAAACATAGCCAGATAAAACCGAGAATGGAGGCCAAGCGAGCAGGGGCGGAGGAACGGGGGAGCGGGCGCATAGACAGGTGCAAAAGGGCGGCGTTCGAGGGGAAATGTCATGCCATATAACCGAGCCGTGGTGTGAGTGAACACACGCACACACACACACGCACAAATGGGGTGCATATGCTACACACACACACACACACACACATCTGGTCCGGGTGTAGACGTATGACAAAACAATATGCAAATTTTGTTGCATACTTTTTGGAGCCAGCGTGAAAATCATTTCAGCTAAGCAGACACCCAGCTTTCGCTGCTGCTGCTGCTGCTGCTGCTGCTACTGCAGTCAGTCAGCCCAATCAAACAAATAAACAAGTACAGCAAAAACAACAACAATAGCAGCAGACAGGGCGAACTGTACGGGCAGGACAACAGGCAACGGACAACAGGCAACAGACAACGGACAACGGCTACATAATGCCTTTCCGGTATCCAATAAACCGACTGCACTTGGACAGCCCGGATTTCCGCTTGAATCATTGATGAGCTATTAAAGTCATTTCTATTTTGCTGTTTGTTGTACGGCTGCTACGGCTCGTCTAACAAGCAACAATCTCCACCTCCGCCTGTCCCCACCCCGGCAATTGCACTTTTGCCTCTCTGTTCTTCAACTTGTTGTTGTTGTTGTTGTTGTTGTTGTGTCAATTGTTGTTGCTGTTTTAGTCATCAACAACTTTTGTCACGTTCAAATTCCGTAGTTTATCACAACGCGTCGGGGAATTCGCTCTGCAAATTAAGCATGCAGCTGTCGTGAGTGTTGGAATGTAGGGGAAATTGCCAAAAAGCTGCTCAGCAGGTGGCAACGCTGTCGTAAAGGTAAGCCACACGTCGTTAACAGATCGTTGCAAGCATCGATAGTTATCGATTGAAGGCATTTCACACATCCGCAAAGCTAACGATTATCATTGACTTGCAAATGGAAATGACTATCGATAAATTATGAACTGCGACTCGTTCGTTTTTGTCCGATAATCAACTTGCTTGAACGTACACAATTTGATAATAACAATTAGCGCAAAAGGAAGAAGAAAAATTGATTTAAGCCGCTTTTAAGTGCCGCACACAATGACAGAATGCGTCCATTGTTTACGTATGTCCTTTCGCGGCATTCTTAATGAAACTCGACATGGGACTTGAGCTGCCCCTTCGGCTGGTGGGGGAAGGGGGCGGCATGTCCGATAGGCAAAAAGCTTAAGAGCCGGCAATTGAATCGTTGCTGTCCGTTCGTCTGACTGCCCGCAGTTAATATATACCCTGCAGCGAGTGGTTTGGGGGAGGCCCTCAGACAGAGCATGGCAGCCGCTCGTCCCATATACCGATACAATGACAGAAGTTATCGATAAATTGCCAATTGACCAATTTGAAAATCGATGAATATCGTTGGCATTAAATGAAGAAGCTGAAAGCGACTGCCAGTCGTTGATTGATGATATCCTTCAACTACAGGGTATTGCCTAGCCGAACATTCTCCACTTTAATTTGTTGCTGCTGTGGCTGCATGCGGGAGGACGTGGCAATTGCCACGACGACAGCGACGACGTTGACGGAAATGAAAAGATAATTTACCCGCATGTTTCAACATCAGCGTGGCATGCCACGCCCACACGCACAAGCAGCGCATGGGAGGGGCGAGTATGGGATATCTATCTGAAGCTGACTCCATGTAAATGGGGATTGGGTCATCATCATGCCGCTAATGCTAATGCTGGTTATCTGTCTATCCATCAGCTGGCCATGTTATGATGTAAATGCCGAGCCACTCGACTGCTGCCACTGATGATAATGGCCACCACAATCCGCCGGCTGTGACTCCGACTCCGACTGCGACGCCGGCTGTGACTTTGGCTCCGGCTGCAAGTACTGCTCTAGCTGCGACTCCTGTTGGAGGCAAATATGTCGCTGCTCGTCTTGTCATGGGGCTTTGCAGCTGCCAAACATTTAGTCTGTCTGCGCCACACACACACACACACACACACACACAGCTCAGTCACAAATTTATTGTTCTTAAACATCTGAGCATGAATGAATGACTGTGCCAGCTAACTGGAACTTGCGTCTGGGCATTGGTATTGCTATCGAGAGTGGGTATGGCACTGCGGCTGTAGCTTGGCCCTGGTTATATTTGAATGCCAAGTTGCCAGTTGTCACAAAGTGAGTGAAATATAGCCAAAATGTCAAATGTCAGCGAAAGACATTATTACTGGCTAGTTGATCCGTCGTCGTCGCCGTAAACTCCAACTGCTGCTCATGCTTGTGCTTGTGCTTGTGCTTGTTGCCTTGCCTTCTCTTTTTGTCATACGCCTCATCCTTGTACGGATAGTCTCCGTCTGCTATGGCGCAGATAATCGATACGCACACGCATTGCATGCTCTCTCCCTCTCACTCCATCTATCTCTCTCTCTCTCTCTCTCGCACTCTCTGTGCATGTGTGAAGCTAGAGATTGGAAACCGAGACCATGTCAGCCCATCAGCCAACATCATCAAGCGTGTGTTGCTGCTGCTGCTGCTGCCTGTTGTGTCCCGGACTTTAAAACATTCAACTTCAGCTTCAAGTTCCTTGGCTTTTAATTTGCTGTTCCGTCCCGAAAGAAAAAACCAATTTAAGCTTATAACAAATTTCATTTTAAGAGCGTTTGATATAATACAAAATAAATCAAATTAATTGTTTATTGAAATGAAAAATTTGAAATTATAATACAAATTCTTTATGGAAAGAAGTCAAAATAGAACTTTAAGCTTAATGAGATTAAGTTTTCAAACAGCTTTAGTGGTCCAAAGCTGTTGAGATATGCCCATTGCATCTTAGCGAGTTAATCCAAAATTAGCTTTAGAGAAGCTTGATAAGTCTTCGTCGCTTAGCTCCCAGCCAGTAGCTTGTCTGAGCTTTCAAAGTTTCATCTAAAGCTGCTTAAACTTCACTAAGCTCTTCACTCATGTGAGCTCAACTCTGCTTCTAGCTTTCATGTGCCGAAAGCTTTGCAGCTAAAGTCAGTTGTTCACTGAAACTAGAACTTCAACGCTTGTTTGGCAATTATTGTTAATTTAATTTATTAAAAATATTTTACACACTTTATTAGAGGAAATTTTCGGAACAGCGAATACCAGAGGACAGGCATCCACACGAAATGGAGGAGCTGCGCGGGAACGAGACACGCGAGTCCTTCGTGGGCGACTACAAGCTGCAAGGCCAGTTCGACAAGGGCACCTTCGGAGACATCTACCTGGCCACATCTCTGTACACCGGCGAGCGCTGTGCCGTCAAGATGGAGAAGGCGGGCATAAAGTACCCACAGCTGGCCTACGAGTATCGCGTGTACAAGGCAATCCGACCGGCCTTGGGGCTGCCTTACATCCACTACTTCTGCGAGGAGGACGAATATTGCGCGCTAGTCATGCAGCTGCTGGGACCATCGCTAAGCTATTTGTTCGAGTTCTGCAGTCGAACGTTTACCATGAAGACCGTGCTGATGCTGGCGGATGAGATGCTTTCGCGCCTGGAGTATGTGCACGGGCGCGGCTTTGTGCATCGCGACATCAAGCCGGATAACTTTCTGATCGGCCGCGACACTACATGCAAGCGGGTGCATCTGATAGACTTCGGCCTGGCCAAGAAGTACTGGGACCCCATTACCCATGTGCACATACCCTATCGGGAGAACAGCTGCCTGACGGGCACAGCGCGCTATGCGTCCATCGCTGCGCACGAGGGCCTGGAGCAGTCGCGCCGCGATGATCTGATCTCCGTTGGCTATGTGCTCCTATATTTCCTACGGGGCAACCTGCCCTGGCAGGGTCTGGTGGCCAGCACCAAGCATGAGAAATACCAGGCCATCTACGCGATGAAGTGCTCCATTAGCAACGAGGTGCTCTGCCAGAACTATCCCAGCGAGTTTACCATGTACATGAACTACTGCCACAAGTTGAGCTTCGATGCCAAGCCGGACTACAACAAGCTGCGCAAGATGTTCCGTCAGCTGAGCATCAAGCTGTACTTTAAAAACGATCAGATCTTTGACTGGGAGAGACTTACTTTGGAGTTTCATGGCAACCAGAAAAATCCTGGCGTGGGTCAACGGGTGTATCCGGCTAAGTGCCGGCCGGATGATGCACTAAGTGGTCATCCAATTATACGCGACGACAAAGCCATTGGATTTAGCTAAGGTAAATGGAGCTAGTTCCAAAAATCCTGAACTAGTTCCAAAATACGTGAACTAGTTCCAAGAATTATGAGCTGATTCCAAAACACGTGAATTTATTCCAATATTTGTAAACTAGTTGCAAAATTTGTGAACTAGTTCCAAAATTTGCGAACTAGTTCGTCAAAAATATTAACTCATTTTAAGCTAGCGGAGGTTATTCGGCAACCAACTAGTGCCAAATGATTCGACATGAAGTATGGTTCCAGAATTATCCGTAATAGACAACTAAATTGTAAATATATTGTAATGTATGTGAACCAATTTAAATTTTCATAAAAGATTGTGAACTGGTTCCAATTGTACACTGGTCCAAGCAAGCTAGTTCCAATTAAATATTTTACAATAATTCCAATCACAAATGTTGACAGTTCCATCTGCTATATATCTAACTCATATGACTACATGAACTAGTTCCAATACCAAACGAGTTAGCAATAAATCATGCGCGCCTAGTCTCTCAGCCTTGGAGCTTTTGGCATCATATGAGCTACGGATATTTCGTATTGTTTTGAAAGCCAAAATGAACTTTAGTAAGTTTTGAAACTTTTATTGAACTAATTTTGGATTGAATAGTAAATAAAATCAAGATTTGCTGCTTTTTTTTTAGTTGTCTGAAGAGGACAATTTCGAATTTCCTAACCATATCTAAAATAAAGAAAAGTTCGCAAAAATATTTCGTTAAGTCTCTTGAGAAATTGCGTCTAGAAAAACAGTTTGGCAAGAAAGAAGTGCTTAGCAGCCAGGCGAACTGCATTCACCTGAATTCATTGTACCTGGAGCAACAAGCCGCAAAAATACCCCGCCCATTCACACCCACTTGAGCTGCCGATGGGCGTATGGGAGAGATAGAAAGAAATCAAAAACACAATCAGATGTTGCCATAGTTGCAGCACACTCAACAAACAGATAAATATATAGAGTGAGAGGAGAGGGTGAAGCAAGCGGAGCGAGAGCGAGAGAGAGACGGAGGGAGAGGGAGAGGGAGAGGGACAGAGTGAATGCCTGAGGGGCGTTTGTGGAATGGACAGCATCAACAGCCACGCTTCAGCGGCGACAGCTAATAAAAATTGTCCAGTTTTTCCAATTTGAGAGATGCCAACGCCAACGCCCCCTCTCCAGAGAGAGAGAGCGAGAGAGAGAGAGAGAGCGTAAAGGGGACGCGCTGAAGGTGAAGGAACGAGAGGAAAAACGGCAAATAGAGCAATTTAAATTGGAACGTGATTATGCAAACGTTTGCGCAGCTTAACTCAAGTGTCGCTCCGTGCCGCTTGGCCAGTTGCCGCTGCTCCAAACACACACACACACACACAAATACGCACACAAATACACACACACACAGAAGCAATAGGGTCATGCATTACAAGTCTTGAATCAATTGTTAAGGCCATGTGTGCAACAAATCCAAAGAAAGAGCTACTACTACTACACACACACACGCACAGCAAGAGTGTGGGCATTCAGCATTTGAGTTGACCATTAACCAGGCTGAAAGCATTCAAAGCCCTTGAGTGCTCAGCTTCCAGCCAGCAGCTAAGACCTGAGACTCTACTGCAGCCAGTCTAGCAGGCGCCGCAGCCTGCTCCAACGCCCCGCCAGCCGTTCGAGCAGCAGCAGCAAGCCAGCCATGGCCATCAGAGCAACGTAGCAGCGATAGAGGCCATGCAGCATATCGTTGGTGATGCGTGTGACCAGCTCCACATTGCTGTCGACTTGCCCAAAGTTGCCCGCGGGCAGATAGCGACGCTCGATGTGCGACAGGACGCCCGAGCTGCGCAGCTGTTCGATCTTGCGATCGATGCTGAACTTGAGGATCGTGTTGTTCGGAAAGTAGATGACCAGCTGGTACAAGTAGATGGGCTCTCGGATATGTGTGAGTCGGCTGCCACGGCGGCGCTTGCGCTGCCAGTGTGCCAGATTGTTGTCCAGCGAGATGGTGACCAGGCGCGTGCCCTTCCGTGCCTGCTGCAGCCGTTGATAGCGCTCCGAGAAGTTGCCCTCCATCAGCTGCGTCAGCTGGCGCGGATAGAAGTCGTGATAGCCGCTGCTAATCAGCGTATAGTTCTGCCGCAGCAGCCCGGCCAGGCCGTGCGGCAGCGGCTGCTGCTTGGGTATGCGCAGCACATCGAACAGCTTCGCCTGGTAGGCGCAGCGCAGCACAAGCGTCAGCAGCAGCCAATTGGCCAGCAGATGGCGCAGAAAGCTGCTGTGCGGCACACGATGCGACGGCACCGGATTGCCCGTCGTTGAGGCTATCAAGTTCTCGACCGGATGCTGCAGACGTACGCGCTGCTCCAAGCAGCGCGCACAGATCAGCGCGGCGAGCAGCGTGGCCAACAGGCAGAGCCAGACAACGGGCTCAAAGGGACGTATCAGCTGGCCAAAGGGTCCCGAATAGCGCTCCGAGCGCACCACAAAGATGAAGTAGCTCTGATGATACACGGCCGAGGTGGCGAACTGATGGCGACGCTTATCCGAGCCACTGAAGCCGCCTACCGCCAGATCAGCCTCGCCCGATGCCAGCTGAGTGGAGGGAGAAACGAAAGCATTCAAATATTTCGAGGGTATTTGTCCAACCATGTCTCACCTGTGCAAAGCAGCCGTTCAGGCTGTCAGTGCTAAAGATCTCGCTCTTCTCCATGGGTATCTTGAGATTAATGCGAAATCTCAGCGCGGTGGCCACCAGACGCAGCAGTTCCCCGCCGATCCCATGCAAATCGTGCATGTCAATCAGCGCCCCGTTCGCCGGCAGAATAGCGCCATCTGCCGGCAGGTACATGAAGTGCGGCGGCAATACGTGTCCAGTCACATTGAACGCACAATTGCTCAGATTGGTGAAGCGTACGGGAAAGAGCTCCGGATGCAACAAGCTACCATTGGACAGAAAGCGATTGCTCCGATAGGTGTGGATGCCCGGCGTGCAGTGCTCCCGGAACAATCTGTAGGAATAGAGCGCGATCTTGCCATCGTCCTGCTGCGCCAGCACGACGACATTGATAATGCGCTTCACGAGCGCCGCATAGCATATGCGAGTCACAGAGCTCTGCAGCTCCGTTGCCGGCTGCCGCACCATGAGGACTATCAGAAAGTAGAACTCACGTTCGTGCAGCAGATGCGTATAGTTCAGATGGAGTTGTCTTGCGAGGGAGAGAGGAGAGGATATTGAAATGAAGCTATGCTAAGTTAAAGGAGAGAGCAAGAGGAGGAATCACTTGAAGTACTCACTCAAAAGCCTCTGCCTCGTTGACCACGAAGAGCGTGTAGTCCCAGGGCTGCTGGACGAAGGCGGATGCCCTGTAGAAGAGGACGGACATGTGCAGTGCCAGCTGCTGGAGCAGCTGGTCCGTTAGCTGACGCTGCTGGTGATCCAGCTCTGCTGGACAGTGCAGGCAGTGCTGTCGCACCAGAAGCGTGTTGATCCTGGTGGCAATGTGACGGCTGGCCACATGCAGCGCGGCCTCGCCCAGTCGCTGTACATCCCGATCGACAGGCGGCCGGCCAAAGAGTTGCTCTGGCGCCAGGCCCAGGCCCAGGCAGCAGCAGCAGCAGCTGCAGAGCAGCAAGAGGCCAACCGGTGGCCGCATGAGCACAACGTTGCGGGCTGAATGGCAGCCCGCAGGAGCTGCCGCAGGGCTCGGCAAACTGGCAGGCGCTAATGTAATTGCTGTTGATTGCGCCGATACGCTCTAATGGAATTGTGCTGATAATTTTGACTAATTGGAAGCAATTGCAGTTGATGCTCGCAACTTGGATTCGATTAACTGCGGCTCCCTTGCATCAAATGGCATAATTAAAAATGCAGCACTTGCAGCTGGGAATACGGCCACATGCGTTTACATAAGCTGATATGCTTGATTAACCGAATCGACTCCAAAGACCATTCAGCGGGCTCCAGTGGGCTGAGCGGCCGACTAGCTGATACCCTTACCTCTGCATTGAGACTGCTCACATAATGTATGTAGATAGGCAAAGGCAACTCTTGTTACTCAAAGGAAGTTGCATGTGTCTACGGTTCAGTCGAACAAAGTGAGGTTAGGCACGTCGAAGTGAGGTTATGTTTAAAAGTAAGCCAAATGCAGCTTTAAATTGAGCCAAGGCGACGCGCCTGACCTCTCCCTTGCCTATCTCTCGCTCTCGGTGTCTCAATTTTTTTCTCGTCTTACTGAAAATGCGGCCAAGCAGGCGGGGCAAAAGCAATAAGCGCCACAAAACGCGCACTCTTGGTAATTTAAGAAGCAGCACAGGGACAAAACTTGCAATGGCCAGGCGTGTGGGTGAGCTGGTCTGTGCTGGCCTTTAGGTTCACTTGATGTTATTTTACAAGGACACGCGCACAATTTATAATAACGCCGACTGCCGACTGCCGACTCGTCCTGGTCGTGGACCACCAAATGACGCCTCACTGTGTGCCCGCGCGCCCATGTAAAGTACAGTAAAGTAAAGTAAAGTAAAGTAAAGTAAAGCCAAGGCGAACGACTCGAGCTGTGCAGAAAGAACACTCACACACACACACACACACATACATCTCTCTATAGTGTGTGTGTGTGTGTTTGCAAACGAGAAAAATGAAGCGAAACAATTCCAAGTAAGCAAACAAAACTGATGGAAGATAATCTACTTGAAGCATACTTTAAGGCGTATCTAATGGTCCTTTTAATGTTTAAACACGCTTTCGTCTGTCTTGTCCTTGTTGAATGCCCAACCACCCAGCCACCCAGCCACCCCCAAGCCCCCCTCGGCTCACTCTGTGCCCCAGCCAAGCCGAAACCAATGTCCCATGTTTATTTTATCCACATCATCAGCCCCGAGAACCGACTCCTCACAATGGCCAGGCCAATGTCACGTTCTTTTTTCTTATTATCCTCTCTCTATCTCTCTCGCTCTCTCTCTCCGTCTGTCTTACGTGTTTGCCATCTCTTTCTCTTTGTATTATTCACGTAGTTTAGTGTTGCGCTGCGGCTGCTTTCCTGTGTTTATTTTATCACAATAATTCCACATTTTTGCTTTTATGCATTTTTAATTTGAGCAGCGGACAATCCTGTGGGCGCTGGGGGCGTGGTGCCTCAGCCTGCTGGGCTAGACTCAAGAGGCTATACCTGAGCAGAAAATGTTATATAATTAGCATACAAAATAGAGCAAAAGATCGATTACATCAATCGATAGGATTATAATAAAAATGTATCGATAATTGCATTGCATAAATCATTTTTGTTTTCAATTATAATTTGTCAACCAGTGTTGGAAAATAATTAGCAGCACTAATTACCAACGAGAAGTGTTATAATGTTGTTATTGATAAGATTTCGATTAAAAAAATATCGATAAATGCATCGATAACATTTTCGACGTCGCGTTATGCACATCGTTAAACGATTTGCAAGTTGACACCTATCCAGCAGTGTTGGTAAACGCTGAAACAATTATCGATACTTTATCGATTACATAAAAGTGCAGCTAAATACATTAAACAATTGCTATTCAGGGATCATTTAGAGACTGTTATTGTTCGAGTAACGTAGTCAAGCGTTGAGCTGCATACGCCCAATTGAACCGTTAGGTAATTGTAATTTATCGATAACAGTTTTGCTTCAAGGGCGCTTTTGTAGTGTGTCGAGTTGCCACCATGTTGCAATTTGCTGCAAATGGCTGGCGCTCGTCGCCAGCATCAGACACTGCGGCTCATCCCGCAGCTCATCCTGCGGCTCATCCATGGACGGAGCCATGGGGCTGTCGCTGGCTGCCATCGTTTTACGAAAAACGATTACGCACTAAGCCTATAACTTATGTTGATGTTTTCTTTTCGTCTTAACATTTGCAAATTTGTCATTTTTTCTTGCCTCTGTGCGTGTGTCCTCGCTGTGGCAAGCAGATGGGGCGATGGCTGCTTGCTTTAGCTAACCAATATTTTGCTTGTCCGTGTTCTTATGCCGGCTCAACTTTTCTTTTCTTTTCTTATGAGTTTTTTTTTTTGCTGTTGCCTTAGCTTTCATTTTGGTCCTTCGTTGCGCTGCTAATAGTATTGTCCTTGAGTGTGTGTGTGTGTGTGTGTGTGTGAGCGTGTCTAAGTAGTCAACATTTTATTGCGGCTTGGCCATTTTTAAGTACTGTTTGCCTATTTCAGCTGCCTTAGCCACTGTGCCTCAACTAGCGCATTGTGTGCGAGTGTGTGTGTGTGTGTGTGTGTGCATGTGTGTGCGCTTGTATCATATTAAACTAATCCTAAATGGTTTCTTCACGGCACATTTGCTGGCACTTGTTGGCGGCCGCAAAGACCTTAGCTACCCACCTGGCCGCCATCTGAATGCTTGCTTAAGCATTTTTTTTAAAGCCCCAACGCATAGAGAAAATTAAAAATATATTTGTATCTGTATATATATATATATATAGTTATACACGTGTGCATATATGAAAAGCAACATAGATAAGCCTCACACGCAGCCTCCTCGTCGTTCTTTCCCTCAAAGTCAGCAAAGCCAAATGCGATTATAGAAATCACTTGAAGAGTTACGAGATTTTCAAAGCTCGGCATTACCTGGTTTTTAACAGAGCGGCTTTGGCTCCACTGTTTGGACAAATGCTATTCGAAAACTATCTGCGAATCATAAATAAAGTTTTATTGCATGCCTGTGGGCGCAATGTGTGCGAATTTATGTATGTGCTCGGCGGACAAGCCGCTTTTTATGCATCGATAACAAAGGCGCAAAAAAAGCTACAAAAACTATCGATACGCAAGTTGTGCACTTTTGTGTGCCACACAAATATTTATAAAGTTTTTCACTTTAAGCTGCAGTTGATAAATAAAACATGAATTCATGTGCGCATACCTAAAGGTAACATCTGTGAACTAGTTCATAAAATTGAACTCAGTTTTGGAACCAGTTCAAACGGACATCGCAGATCAATCAATGTGAAGTTGTTGAGTACCTAAAATACCACAGCTAGAAGTGATTATGCTCATAACGGAACTAGTTCAGAACACATACTCTAGAGAGGAAAACCCTGCCTGCCTGGCTCAAGTAAGTAACTGCTCGATATGAATACAATTTGAAGTCTGTTTTTCTCCGAGTTCCTAAGCTCAGCTAGTCTCAAACGTCAACTAGTTCACTCCGTGACACGTTTAATGAACACACAGAAACTCATTTGCGAACGGAATCAGTTCACATTTAACTGAAATTGAAATCAAATTTTTAATTACAGAAACCGAAAAAAGAAACAACACGAAAGAAACTCAAATTGAAACTGAAAATCAGGTGCGAGCCGAGAGCTGAGGTAAATTCTCCTAATTTTTGATTGATTGCATTGAAATTGGTATTGAATGGGCGCCACTAATTGAACAACAAATTAAAATCAATCAATCGCTGCATCAGACGCTAATGAGTCACACGCCGCCCAGATTCTCGAATCCCGGCTCTTCCACCTGGCTGCAGGTGAGAGAACAAATTGACTTTGCCATGGAATTATGACAAAATTACATTTTGCAAATGCAATTGAAATGCAACCATTGACGATTGCACTGCCATTGTCTGTGTAGCATGTGTCTACATGCATGTCGCTCTATGTGTGTGTGTGTGTGTGTGTGTGTGTGTGCAGAACTCATTTATAAAGTTATTCGTTAATAAATAGTTAACAATCAACGATAAATTGGCAATAAGCGTGTGGCTGACTGAACTGAACAAGAGAACCTGTAACAGGGGCGTAGATGTTAAGAGGGGTTACAAGTTGCCACACTTGGGCGATAGAGGGCGACATGGGATGGACTAAAGGTGTGAAGTATATAAAGATCAACTGTTTAGAAAGAGAGAGATAGTTGAAGAGAGAGAAAAAGAGAGAGAGAGAGAGAGAGACGAGAAACGAGAGATGGGAGAAGAGAGAGAGAGAAAGAAAGAGAAAGAGAGATAAAGGTAGTCTGAGAGAGAAAGATAGAGAAAAAGAAGGAAGGAGGGAGAGAGAGAGAGAGTGAGAGAAAGAGAGCGCTAAAAAGAGAGAAAGAGTGAAAGCGGAACAGACTGAAAGAGAAAACGACAGAAAAAGATAGAGAGAGAGAGAGAGTGATGGAATCATATGAAAGAAATATTTGGATCCCTCTGAACGCAGCTAAGCCTCTTTTGAAACACTTTCTATCTGCAGAATAGGATTTATCGCTCGCTCTACTAACTCCATTCACAGTTCAGTAGCAAATTTGCCTTCATTGCACAGCTGATGACGCCACTGGGCTGAGCATAGGTCATATAGAAACTGATGCAAAACGATAATAATTACACGTATTATGTTTAATGCAGGCCATTGTGCAATGTAGCTGGCAATGAGAGCGAGTGAGAGAGAGGGAGCAGGAGAAAGAGAGAGAGAGAGAGAGAGAGAGAGAGAGAGAGAGACGGCACGCGCTGTGCATATTTTGCCGCTGATTTCCACTTTTCATTTAAAGCCATTGTTCTAAGGCACACACACACGCACACACACACTCAGGCAACATAATTTTGTATCGAAAGGCATGCCAAATGGCCAGTCGATATTTTGAAACTGTGCGACAAAGAGGTAAGAGAGAGAGAGAGAGGAAGGAAGAGGCTAGGCCATGTGAGTCCGTGAT